ACACAAATTAGACAAGATACTTACCTCGAAGAAGCTAAACTGATACTCTAAAATGACCTTCTCGTGTGAAACAACCTCTGGACAGCTCAAATCTAGCCAAAATAACTTCATATCATAAATAAAAAACATATGAAACTATTTCGAATAATAAAGCTTCGATCTTTAAAGAAAACTAAAAAGTCAACCATGGGCCCGCACCTCAGAACCTGACAAAATTCATAAAATCAGAATACCCATTCCGATACGAGTCCAACCATACAAAAATTATCAAATTCCGACATCAAATCAGCTTTCAAATCCTAATTTTATATTTTTAAAAGATTTTACAAAAATTCTCATTTTCTCTTATTCAAATCACTAATATGTTAAAAACAAAGATGGAATTACGAAATATAATCAAATCCGGATAAAGAACACTTACTCCTATCCAACACATAAAATTCCCTCTAAAATCGTTCAAATCTGAGCTCTCTAACTCAAAAAGTGATAAAATATCAAAAGTCGTAGAAATAGAGTACTTATATTCTGCTTAGTGATTCCTCATACGCGATCGCGGAACAATCCTCGCGATCGCGGAACAATCCTCGCGATCGCGAAGAACAAATTGTTGTCCAGTGAAAATAAAGCCTCGCATTCGCGGCACAAACCTTGTGAACACGATGAACAATGACCACAGGCTTCGCGACAGCGGTGAGTAAAAGTCCACCAGCGAAAGGTGCGAACACGGACAATGGACAGCAAAAGCATCGCGAACGCATGCCCACAGTCGCGTCCACGATGAACAAAATCCCTGAACTCCCAGAAACCTTTCGCGATCACATCATCATCTTCGCGATCGCGAAGAACAATAGGCACACCAGCAAACTAGCAGTCCAAAAACATAGAGAAATAGCTCGTAGCCCATCCGAAACACACCCGAGACCCCCAAGACCCCGTTGAAACATACCAACAAGTTCCATAATATAACGTAGATCTGCTCGAGGCCTCAAATCATATCAAACAATATCAAAACTACGAATCGCATATCAAATCGAACTTAATGAACTTGTGAACTTTCAACTTCTAAAACTCGTGACGAAAAATATCAAATCAACCCGGAATGAACTCAAATTTTGCACACAAGTCCCAAATGATATAACGAAACTATTTCAATTCCCGAAACCACAGTCCGAACCCGATATCCTCAAAGTCATTTTTCGGTTAAACTTATGAGCATTCCAAACCTTCAAATTTTTAACTTTTGCCAAATAGTGTTGAAACCTTCTAGAAATATCCAAATGTGTATCCGGGCATACGCCCAAGTCCAAAATCACCATCCGAACCTGACAGAATCATAAAAACTCCGATCCGGAGTCAAGCACACAAAAGTCTAACTTGGTAAACTCTTCCAACTTAAAGCTTCAACAATAAAATTCATTATTCCAAACTAATTCCGAATCACCCGAAAACTAAAACCGACGATACACACAAGTCGTAATACATCATACGGAGCTACTCATGCCCTCAAACCACCGAGCGAAGTGCAAATGCCCAAAACACCGATTAGGTCATTACAAGGAAAAAAAGAAATATATTGATTATGTATAAAGTATATATTATACGTTAATATAAAAAATATATATATTTTGCCTGCTATTATTTTTTATAGCGGTTATACAATATAGTTTTTCCTATAAACTTGGAGTCCTTTAGTGTACGAGTGTGACAAGAATTTGCTGCAAAACGAATTAAAGAGGTGATGGGGAAGAAAGCGGATGAGTGTTAAAATATTCACTATTCATTGCTTGGATACATGTTGATTTGGGTCTACTACACGATCATCTTTTTTTTGTTGTACATCCGACCATTAAAGAAATGCGGGCTTTTGGCAGAAGTCCATCTAATCATAGGATAAAAGTATTTTTTCACTCAAAATAAATTTAATATCATAACTACAGTATATCCATACAAACTATTGTATAAAAGTAAATCTAACATAATAAATTAAACTTAAATGGAAAATGTCTCATACTTGATGATTTCTAACTATACGATATAAATATTGATATGTAAACCTTTTTTTTGATTACACTATGCATTAATATATGAGAGTCATTATTATTATGTATTCCTCATACGATATGCCATAACACTGATATATCACCAATCATTGTTAAGACTAAACGCGAGCCAAAACACTTCGATATATCACCTCACTCTGCTCATCAAGATTGAAAACATGAAAGTTTGTTTCCTTTCTATTAATCTTTTTATAATAATCAAAATATTTACACCTGCCAACTATGCAAAATCCAGTTCTCTTTCTGCTCCTTCAATATATCATTACCTTCGACAACTCTACTAAGATAATCATTTAACGAAAACCTTGTAATTTGAATAATTGAACAATGATTGTATGCTATTTAATTATGAATGTGTCAATTATGAAGTTGTCTAGTTGGCAACAAACGATTTTTCTTAGTGAGTTGGATATAAAACCCACTTTGAACGCCATTAGTTAGAATTTATGTATACAACTCATACGGAACACCATAAGTTAGAATTTGTCTTTACTAATTTTATGTTTATATATAATTATGGAAAGATGAAGTTAGTTCGCCATTATATTTTTTGTTATCTCTTATTCTCCTTGTATCGAGGTTAATTATACTCGGAGTGATATTTTGTTATATTCATGATCATGTTTTTATAAGTATTTGCGAAACCAATACTCCATAGTTTATATTAGGGTGTAAAATTTAAAGTTAGGTGTAATTTGGAGTTATATGATTTGCGTCAGAAGGATATGGGTGAAAGAAACTAAATTTGTCGGCACATATAAAAAAATAATTTATTATTTATTGAATAAAAAAAGGAAAAAGGGTAAAAAAATATTCCTCTACTATTTGAAAATATTCATTTATACCGTTAATTATACTATTGGTCCACAACAACCCCGATGTCATAAAACTAGTGCATAAATATCCTTATGCCGTTAGGACCCTCCACAATGTCAAAATTATCACATGTGGCATGATATATCGCTGAGGTGGATGCCACGTGGCATGCCGCCTCATTACACCTATCCCATTTTATCCCCTCCCCTATTTCTTCTTCTTCTACCACTACTTCCCTCTTCACCCAACCATCACCAGTATCACCTTTTCCTTCACCGCGCATATATTCTTTCACCACTATCAAACCACTAGTTTTGGCCTCCATTCTTTCACCAAAAATTAATCGAAAAATTTGATTTCATGGTTTTATTTTCGAATTTACCAAAGTGCCAAAGCTTGTTGGAGCAGCTTTAGTAGGCAGTATTTTATTTTGTCAAAAGATAGAGGATGAAAAGAACATTGTGCCCAAATGCATTGATAAAATTTAAGTGCATTATGCAAGCTGGAAAAGGAGGGAAAAAATATGGAAAATGTATATAACCTGTTACTACTAAATTAGATTGCAAAGATATATATTGTAATTAAACATAGCTTTCTCTACTATACAAGTTGAGTTCTATAGCTGGAAATGGAACCTAAAATTGCTTATAGCATAAAATAAGCGAAGCAAGTGACATAAGATAGCAATGAAACATTATTCTTTTCTCATTTTAGAAAGTATACTAGCGGCAATGACTGTCTAAAGAAAATCTCTACACACTAAAATCCTAAAGCATTGAACTAGAAACCAATAGAATATACCATCATATAAAAATCTTTCATTATGCTCTGAACATTTTAGTAAATCACGAATTATGAGATGTTCGTTCTTGTTGTGGTAGCTGGAAAGCATCTTTCACTTCTTTGAGTTTAATTAGTTGCCAAGCGGTCCTGGGTCTATTTCATATTAGCTGAAACCAAATCCGAAAATAAAATCAAAAAATCAAAAATTTTGACTAATATTTGGTGACAGAATGGTGATCAAGACTAGTGATTTGATGATGGTGGAAGAATAGATGTATGGTGAAGGAGGAAGTGATGTTGGTGGTGGTTGGGTGAAGATGGAGGTGGTGGTGGTAGAAGAAGTCGCTTAGAGGGTAAAATGGGATAGATGTGACAAGGTGGCATGCCACATGGCATCTACCTTAGCGATATGTCAGGTCACATAAGATAAATTTGCCATGGTGGAAGGTCCTATTAGCAAAAGGGTATTTTTATACTAATTTTACAACATCGGGTTTGTAGTGGACCAATAGTATAACGGAGGGTATAAGTGAGCATTTTTGAATAGTAAAGGAATATTTTTGACACTTTTTCGAATAAAAAATAATATAAACCATTACACTTGGGAGGGACAAGGATACATATGTTCATTTGTTTTGATCTCAATAACAAACAATCAAATTTTTAAAATTTGTTTGAATATTATCTTGGATAAGAGTGGGTTGCTCTAGTGGTGAGCACCCTCCACTTCCAACCAAGAGGTTGTGAGTTCGAGTCACCCCAAGAGTAAGGTGAAGAGTTTTTGGAGGGAGGGAGCCAAGAGTCTATCGGAAACAGCCTCTCTATCCTAGGGTAGGGGTAAGGTCTGCGTACACTAGGCTTGCCAGCTAGTGGTTATAACTTATGACGTGCGCCAAGATCAGACGAGATTAGACTCAATGGATTTTGCTTGACACAATTCATTGAGTATATATGAGTTTATTAAAAATTTGAAGAAGACTAAATGTGTTATAAAACAATAGGAGAAGAAGAGTATTGCAGAGAAAAATAGTAAGAAGAAATTCTTATTGATTTGGGATTAATTACAGTGAAATAGAACCCCTCTATTTATAGGAAAAAAATAATTTAGCCACCAAGTAACAAATCTTAAAATTTCTCTAAAATATAGACATTCATCTTAAATACAATTATATTTATAACAAAATGCGTACTTTTAATAAATTTAAAATATTAAAATTGTTTACAACAATATTTATTTTAAACCTATCCAAACATAAGGAACTATTTTTGTCATTCCTTTTCAATATTTCCACGTTTTGGCCATTATATTAGCGTGTCCGTCGCCACGTAAGTAAGTTGACAATCAAAAGACAATCTAACGTTGATTCAACGAGTCAGAAGCGACACCGTATTTTTCCTGAAGAACGCAAGAATATGGCGGGAAAACCTCGAAGGCACTGCAACGTGGCACAGTCCTAGGGTTTATCAGAAGCAAAAGACTCTTCAGTCGAAGCGAATCCTCGCATTCAACTCGTTCGAGAAAATGCCGACATATAAGATTGGGGGAATCGATGTCGATTTCCCTTACGAGGCTTACGATTGCCAGATCACTTACATGGAAAAAGTCATTCAGTCCCTTCAAAATGTATGTCTCCCTTAGTCATTCATTGTTTTATAAATTTAGGGTATCGTTATTTTTTTAATGTTAAGTTGAATTTTTGGGTTATCCTTAGTATATACCATATTCAGCTGATATCTTGGAAATTAGTTGTTGAAGTTAATAATCAACGAATCACCCATACTTTATTTTGGATGGAATGTGAAAAAAGAAGTTGTGTTTTGCAGAGTTTTGATTCTTGACCCGGTTTTTTGCGAGTTAATATTTCGACTAGTGACCATTTGACGTTAGATACTTTGATCATTGTTTGAATGGGGCTTCTGTTGATAGGAATAAGGAACATCACCCTCATTGTTGTAGCTTCTTGATTATCGCACATGGTTGGCCCAGTGGCGAAGCCAGGAATTTTTACAAGGGGATTCAAAAAATTAGAATCTGTGATCTAAAAACAATTTTAGAGCTATCTTTGCCACCACAATGAAAACTTTCCTCATGTCAAGGGGATTCAGAAGTTTTTATATTTATATATACAAAAAAATGTTTCTGCGCTATTTGTGCAGTACTATTTTCTAACGAAAAGGATTCAATTGAACCCCCTTCATTAGCTGTGGCTCCGCTACTCCGTGGTCCCATCAACTTGGTATGTTCACAGTAAGCAGCTGTACGACTAATTTTTTTTTGAAGTGTAGAAGCAACATCCGAGGTGCTAGAGACAAAATATATTTCTAGAATTGAAATCACCCTAGTATACATGAAGTGTGTTCCATGCTTGTATTCCCATTTTCTCCCCCTGTAGTCTTCAAAGCTTGTTTTACTGAGTGAATGCTTGTGATGTGGCAGAGATGTAATGCATTGCTTGAGAGCCCAACTGGGACAGGAAAGACCCTGTGTCTTCTTTGTGCCACATTGGCTTGGAGGAAGAGTTTGGGGGGTTTCTCAGTCCGGAAGAGTGGAATAAGAGACCGTATTGCCAGTAGCCAGCAGTCAGATGAGTCTTCTCAATTTGAATCCTCAGCATTACCAAATATTGTATATGCATCACGCACACACAGCCAAATTCGACAAGTGGTGAAAGAGTTAAAGAGGACCAATTATAGGTATAGATTGTGATTGCATTATTGAACAGGTGGCTTTAGCACTATGTTTTACTGTTGACCAACTATGTTAGCATAATATTGAATCTCTTTCAAATAGTGTCCTAGTTCAGCGGTTAGCATGTTCTTAAAAGGGTTACTTATTTGCAATACTTTAGCTCTGCATATGCTATAAAGTATCTGATTCTATCAATATAATGTGATGTATAGGCCAAAAATGGTAGTCTTAGGATCTCGGGAACAACTGTGCATTCATGAAGAAGTGAGTCTTCTGCGCGGAAAAACACAGACAAATGCTTGCCATGCACTTTGCAAAAAGCGCAAAAAACGTTATTGTGGCCACTTTTCTCGCGTTGCAGGTACATTAGCATATTTAGTAACTTGTACTCAAATTCTTCATAGTTGAGCTGGACAAATGATAGTAAAAAGTCTGTGGATCTAATACAAAAATATAAAAGGTGATTGTGTATCTAAACTTATAACTTTTTTTTTTGTTGCTGTTATTTACTGTGCTTGGTCAATTATGACTGTTTATGCTTTTATTATGTACAGAGTTCATGAAGACTAATCCCAGTCTAGGAGAGGAGCCTATTGACATAGAGGATTTGGTCAACATAGGAAGAAGCAGTGGCCCGTAGGTTTTTCTTGTAAGTCTTGTCATTGAATGCTGATAATATGATGTGGACTCACTTTTTTTTCTTTATAGGTGCCCTTATTATGTATCACGAGAACTTCACAAGACTGTGGACATATTATTTGCACCTTACAATTATCTTATTCATCGCGGATACAGAAAATCTTTGAACATTCAGTGGACAAACAGTATACTTATATTTGATGAAGCTCATAACTTGGTAAATTGCACCTTCAATTGTCATGCCAGTATTTTCTTAGAATGCCCACCCTTGCTCACCCTTGTGTCATGCTTCTATTGTAATTCAAGATTCAATTCTAATTTTTTTGATGGTTTTCTGTTTTGACCAGGAAAGCTTGTGTGCTGATGCAGCCTCTTTTGACCTTTCTTCTGGCCTTCTGACAGCTTGCATTTCTGAAGCTAAAACTTGTATAGACCTTTCGATAGCAAGGAGGGAGAACTCAAGTGACAAATCATGTAATCCAGATAACTTCGCTATTCTCAAAGGTAAATTGCTAATTTTTGAATAAAATTATGATAGATGCATTGGACATGTTTTTATTCATGGGTATTTTTTTTTGATAAAGTTCTATTCATGGGTATTGAGCTTATAGTGCATTGCCTTTAATTATTCAAGACAAGTCTGTAAGCGTCCATTGCAATTTAAGAGACATTTCTCATTAGAGTTCAATCAAGTTGCTCGTTACTTCGATTTTGTTGTGTTTGTTCCTCTCAGTCGTTTTATACTAAATTCACTTGTTTAACTCCTTTGTACCTGAGGTAGTATATGGGTGTCACTCACTCTTTAACAGTGTGCATCTCATGCAGCACTTCTTTTGAAGCTTGAGAAAAAAATTGCTGAAGTGTCCATTGATTCAAAAGAGTTGGGTTTCACGAAGCCTGGGCCATACATTTATGAGTTTCTTGCTGATCTAAATATCACACAGAAAACTGCCAACATGCTCATTGATATAATTGAGGAAGCAACTGTACTTCTTGAAGAAGGTGAGTTCTTACTGCCTTGACCCCATGAATGTAGTTTACCATGTCTCAGATCTACTTTGGAGTGAAAGGTTTGTTTGCATCACTGTTTAACTTGACACGAAGACTATTAAGTTAGCTTTCGATTCATTCATTATAGGTTTAGTGGTCGAAAATTGTTAAACTAGAGTTAAAATTTGGTCATGAAGTTAGTTTCATAGGGAAAACATGTATTGTTATGTTAATTGTATTTTTTTGAGAACATGCACTTAACGTTTATGATGTGTCAAATTAGCATTGTGTCAGAAGCTAATGTACATTTCTGTTTACCAAGGTTTAACCCCTTTTTCTGTGATGGAATCCACTTATTTACTTTTTTTTTTATAAAAGAAATGTGTTCCATGAAATGAAACGGGGCAGAAAAGATTTGGGTTGTTCCTAGCTTTTGTAGCCAGGAGTGATATAGTGTTTTATAGTTTTTGTAGCTTGTATGATGCTTTTCCATTTGAAATCACTGTATTCTTGCTCCTCTAATCAGATGCAAACACTACCGAAGATGGAAAAACAAACAAGTCAAAAAGCACAGTCTGCAGATTGGAAAGCATGGGTGACATTCTACAAATGATTTTCAGGAATGATGGAAACCCTCATGCCCAATACTATCGTGTAAGTTAAGAGAATATGTTTCCCTTTTTTCTTTGGTTGGCTGGTTGAAGAATGATTCGTTGGGAACTTACGCCATTGTACTAAATCCTGATTCTCAGTAAGTTGTCTGATTGAAGCTTTTTCATGTCTTATCAGGTTCATGTTCAGGAAGTTCAAGGAGGTGGCATAGATTCCCTTAAAGGTAGTCAAATTTTCCTTTGGCTTAGTGCAAAAATAACATCAGTTCTTGGGATACTTGTGTACTCCATAGTTTTTTGTTTTCTTAACCATTAACCCTCTTCCTTCCCCATCCATATTTTTAATTGATTTTGTGCAGCAGGAAAGGCATCTAGAACACTGAGCTGGTGGTGTTTCAATCCAGGTATTGCAATGGAGCAGTTCTCCAAATTAGGTGTTGGATCTATCATTTTGACTTCTGGCACATTATCTCCGATGGATTCATTTGCTGAGGAATTGAAGTTGTGAGTCCAATTTATCCAAAAATGTTTTTACTTACATTTTGTTCTGGCATGAATTCTGATTTCTTATCTCTTTTCCTTTCTGCTGCTTGTAGAGATTTTCCAGTTCGTTTAGAGAACCCTCATGTTATATCAGACAATCAGATATGGGCTGGTGTTGTACCCGTGGGCCCTTCTGGTTATACATTCAACTCATCATATAGGACTCGTGATTCTATTGAATACAAGCAAGAGCTTGGGAATGCCATTGGTATGTGGAATGTGATGCTGTGTGGTGTATGCATAACTGTGAAATACTGATGATATTTCCAGATAATGTTTCTGATGAACGTTATTCTTTTCTGATTTTATGCTTCAGTCAATTTCGCTCGTGCTGTACCAGATGGACTTCTTGTATTTTTTCCTTCATATTACCTTTTGGAGCAATGCATTGGCTGCTGGAAAACTTCGGTAAGGATCTTGAAGTTTTGAACATATGAAAACAGACAATCGCTTGGCATTGTTCTCTGAGCCTAATGTTGCACTATGAAAATTGTCAGGGGCATTCAAACTCAATGGATTCGAGCACAATATGGGAAAGGATATGCAAATACAAGCTGCCTGTCGTGGAACCAAGACAATCTTCTCTTTTTCCAATGGCAATTGAAGTATGCCATATAATTTTTGTAACTTTCCTTTCATCCATTCTGTGTCTATGTCTGACTCAGAAATTTTGGCCTTGGACAGGATTATATGACCAAGTTGAAGGACAAAACAGCATCTGGGGCTGTGTTTTTTGCAGTCTGTCGGGGAAAAGTAGGTTTCTGCTTTAAAAATTTTTCATAGTTATTGATAGCAGAATTTATATCTGTTGAGTTTTGAGCGTTTAATTGCAAGCTCATGGATCCTAAAGATGATTGTTGTGGCAATATGCTATTATGATTCTTGGAGGGGTTCAGGAAAGGACTGTGACTTCGTACCACAAGTTTTTTATCAAAGCTGTTTGAGCTTGTACCTGTATATTGTTGCTTAAGTTTGATGCTCAATCTGGGTCTGATGGCATTGTAACAAATTTATGCTGGGTTAATTAGTGTGTGATGTAGATAACAGAGAGCTAAAGGATACTTGCTTATGGAGGTGTTTCATGGCTTGTTTAAATTGAATATTACAATTTTCACCACAAATATTTTAAGCGAATATGGCCCCAGGGTTTTGGTTCAGTGGTGAGGATGCAACACATGAAATGTGAGTTAGGCTGCACATTACGACTTTGAATGCTGCCATTGACAAGCTAACTTATGTGTCAGTCATTAAAAAAAGAGAAAGAATGCGAATTTGTCATAGTAAGCTAATTTGACAACCATAGCACTTCACTGGATGACTGCTTCTTTCCTTAGAGACATCTATCTGTAAGGTAAGTTGTATTATTTCTGCTTTCTAGGGAAAACCTACAATTTTTGAAAAAAATTTAAAAGTGGGAAATCTTAGATGACCACATTTCTTATTCCCTCATGCACACTGTTTTAACAAACTTATCATATTTGTACACTGAGAAAATATCTAACTTAGTTCTGGAGATTTCCTAGTGAAAAAAGGTCATTACTCATTGAACTTGTAAATTTAAGTTATTTGCTATTACATACAATGAAGCAGACAACTTGGTTATTTCATAAAAGATGTGTCAAATGAATTAGAGGACCGACCAATTATATTAAAGGTTGAAATGTAAAACATTAGTACCTATATGTTCCTAAGCTCTTATATAATGGTATACATTCAGGTTATCCTTGATAATTGATAATGGTGTTATAAATGGCACCGTTTGATCATGTTTCCTCATTATTGGTTGATTGGTACAATAGGTGAGTGAGGGATTGGATTTTGCTGACCATGCTGGTAGAGCTGTTGTGATCACCGGCATCCCCTTTGCCACAAGGAGTGATCCTAAGGTTTGTGAACATACTTACTGCCATCGTGTCAATTTTCTGTTCGGAGTTGTTCACTGATTCAAGTGTCTTCTAGTTATTTTTTTATAATAAAAAACTTACATCTTCAGTCACTTTGCATCCTAACATATCATCTTCAACAACTAATGTTTTTAAGTAAGCTTTTTTCCTGATATTATTTGGTTTGTGGTCATTTGTTGATCTAAAATATATGTAAGCAATCCAGGGGATGGAGTAATTTGATCTTTAATTCATCTGAAAATTTTGATCTGAGGCTGTAATTTCCTTAGGAGAAAAATGTGTTGCACTTGTCTGATAAAAAAATGTGTTGAACTTAGTCTGTTGTAACCTCCACGTTGTTGTCTGTTCATACAAATGTTAAATGAAAAATTGTGCATCTTATGTCTGAATCAGGTTCGTTTGAAACGTGAATTCCTGGATCAACAGATGAACTTGCAATCAACTGGATCTAAGGTACAGGTCAAACTGAAAAGTTGTTTAGTTAATTCTGTGCATGTTTCCTGTTGTAACCCACCTTTCCCCAAGGGCTGAGCCTGTTCAAACTAAAAGGTGATGTGACAGGTCCTAACAGGAGAAGACTGGTATACTCAACAAGCATCGAGGGCTGTAAATCAGGCTGTGGGCCGTGTTATTCGTCATAGACATGATTTTGGAGCAATAATTTTTTGTGATGAAAGGTCAGTATGAGTTAGAATTTTTTACCAAATTGCTGTCATATATTGGCCCCTTTTTCCTTATACATTTGACCAGAATGCTGCTATAAGCTGTAATGAAATATCACATGCTTACAACTTAGTCAAATCTGTGATACAGGATAGGATATTTGAAGGACTTGTTTGTGATTGCTTAAGCACATTCTGATATTGAATATATGTATATACACACACGTACACTTTCATTCTGTTGGAATTAAAAGCATTGCCATGAGTCAGCTGTATCAGTTCAACAAATAGGAAGTTAGTGATAGGTGAGTCACCCACAGCATATTTGCGGAATTAGAGTTGTTACTGTCATTTGGTCATCATTCCGCTTGTTGCATAGAGCGACCTATCAATTTTTGAAGCATATATCTTTAACTTCTCCTTTATCTTGAGCAGATTCACATACTCCAACCGTCAGTCACAAGTATCACGTTGGATACAACCCCATATCAAGGTTGATTTGTTTGAATTGGTATTTTGCTATATTTTTGTTTTTTATTTTATTTTTTTCTAAAGGGTGTCTGCTTCTCTTTTGACCGTCCAGTGTCATTCCAAATTTGGGGAAGTAGTTTTTTCATTGACGCGCTTTTTTCGTGATGGAAGAATTCGTGGCCCTACAAAACTAGAATTGATGCAACCAGATGACAAGGGTAAGTATCACTAGTTATAGAAAACCACATTACCCTGTTTTGGCTTATTGTTGCACTCTCTTGCTTGTAGTTAGTGATGCCATTTTCCCTGAACATCCTAGATCACTTGATGCTACATGGTTATATTCTGTGCGAGCAGTACTAGGTTAACAATACTTTAGGATTTATTCAGATAGATCTCTTAAGATCAAAGGTTGCGCTCACAGCTGGTTTCATTTTTCTGTTTAATTATGGTTCAGATATTTTGGCGTGTTTATTTCTAGTAGTGGGTTAGAGCATTTGGTAGAAACCAAAAAAAATTCTGAACTCAAATTAGCAGTTCAGTCCGGTTTATCGGTTTTTGGTTTGGTTTGAGCATTGAAGAAACCCCCCCTGATATTTTGTTCGGTTGGACTGGAAAATTAAGCTAATCAATGGGGATGTGTGCACACGCTTAATAATCTCCTATCTAGTATTCTCTCCGCTCTCCCCCAAACGGCAACAGGCGGGAGCACTTCGTGCATGAGTATGCCTGTAATTGATCCCTATCTTATCTACTATGTGTGCTATGCAGACACCAGCTCAGTTGTCTTCCGGAAGAGCCAAAGTTCCATGACCTGATTGTCTCTAGTAAAACTTCATTCTGAAAGAACTAATGAACGAGCCTATTCACATAATAGTTTCTTGGGACGAAGCATACCCAGTGAATTTAATCTATTTTATCTCGTCATTAATTTGATGATAAGATCTTTAGCTTGCCTTTATATAGGTAGTTAGCTCACGGCTCACATTTGCACTCATGATAAGATCTTTAGCTTGCCTTTATATAGGTAGTTAGCTTGCCTTTGGTTTAGTTTGGTTGTGACCTAATGCCAGCTCCCTAGTAGAGTTTATAAAAATTTCTGATATTACTGTCAAATATGTGTTGCCTTCTTAATTGGCGGTTGATTTCTCATTTCATGTATAAATGAGTATATTGGATGATATCTGTTTGTTTTGGATACACAATATCTTTGATGTGCTAAGTCAATTGGGGGAATCTTTTCGACAAGCTTCGTAAATGAGTTTTGTTTAAATTTAATGCCTAACTTTTGGTGTAACTTACAAAAGACTGTAAAATGAACAATGATCGCGTAAGTCACCTATTTTTGGTTATTCACTCTGTTTAAGTTGACCTTAACTCACCTCAACTGGAACTTCGTTTAAATCAGTTCAAGCTCATAGATGACACATAACTCGGTGCCTATACCAACTTTGTAATCTATAGGTTAAGCTTTATAGAAATGAAAACAGGGAAAGGAAGCAACATGTTCTTTTCTTTTTCATGTTATTAAAATGCTATACGCAGTGATTTGGCTAAATTGTGTGTTTCTCTGCATCCTTCTTTTATTAGTTAAGTCAAATAAAACTATCCTCCCTGAGGTAATTAAATTTGTAATTGTTATGAAATGTGATTGGCACTGTTGTTACCTATTGATTCTGGTTATTCTTCAATATATATTATCTATTCTCTCTTGCAGAAATAGTAAAGAGACTAGGAAGCTCTCAACCTAAACTTCACTTTGAAAAGCTTTTTACCTCTCTGGTAAGTTAATTTAGTGTCTGCATCTTTTGAAGTCAATACAACCAGTAATGCACATTTTTCTGATTCCTTTCTTCACTTGATTGTGTTCTTAGGACTCATCAGTGGATTTTCCTTGCTCTACTAATCAATTATCTTCCTCAGTTAAGCAAGGGAACAGCCCTGGCAGTCTGGAAGACATACTTCCTGCTAATAAGTCATCTCTTAGGTCTGATAAGCTAGTTAAGAATCTGGCTGTAAAACATGCAAGTAATTTGTTGGTCTCTGGACGAAAAGAAATGCTAATTAGCAAACAGAAAATAATTGACTTGACGAAACATGAATTGCCTGATGAACAACCAAAAGATGTTATTGCACCTTGTTCTCTGAAGAGGCCTCGGCTAACATTAACAGGACCTGATTGTCAAAGAGATCATTCTCGAAAGTCTCATGATAGTCCTGACCGTTCCTCAGTTGCCCATCACCTGCTGTCAGAAAGTGGCTCTAGCTATATATTGAAGAATAAGAAGTCACAGTACTCTGAGGAACGAAGTCAACAAAACATTAAATTAGATAGAGCAGACCTGCTTGAAAATGAGATGACATCACGAAAGACTGCAGGTTTAGTTGACCTGCAAAATGAAGATGGCGTTGATAGCTCTGTGCCTTGCAATAATGAGGAGAAGAAAGGATCAGTTTTTCTTGTTCAGGTAGGTGCTGGGACCTATATTCTTGCTTTATCAACCTCTTATGTATCTTTTACTAGCACGCTAGGACATAGTTTGTCTTTCTTGCTTTAACCGGAGTTGTGCAATTTCTGGTCTTTTGGTCTATCTCAATTTAGTGTCACTGATGGTGAGCAACTAAAGATTGCCTCTGTATATTACATAAATCCCGAAGTTATTTAATTCATGGTGTCACCTTTACTTTTCTGTTGATTCTCTTTTTGAAAATCCTTTGCTGATTGATATAGGAAAATGTAGAATATCATGATACTTAACTTTCGTTTTATCTCAATATCTTGATGCAGTTATTTTTTTTTTTCAGTTTCTGGTTTCACAGGTAACCTGAAATTCTGTTACGTTACGTAATCATTTACTACTGATGAGTCCACAAATGTGACATGCTAAAGAACCAAGTTGACAAAATTATGGAGCAGAAGTAATATAATACATTTGGCCAAATACATAACCAGCCCCCTAAAGTTGACACCAAATTTCATTTAGACGCTTCAACATACCTTTGTTCCTATTGGACACTCCAACACCCACAAAATGTATCTACTGAGCACCTCATGCACACATGGCACAAAAAGCGACTCACTTGGAGTTGGGCGCGTGAATAGTTTGATAGTCAATTTTTTTTCTCTCTTTCCTATTTCTTCTTCATAGAGCTCCCTCTGAGACGGCAGAGCTTCTGTCCTTATCCCCATCCTCTATTTTCTTCATTCTACTGATTTACTGTATTTTCCAGTGATTTTCCCCAAATTTACATGTATTGATTCAATGAGTATATCTTATATCTCTTTTACAAGAAACTAGAAGATATAGATTGGTCCCTGCAAGTTAGGAACTTTCGGATATGCTTCTGAAATCGTATACTCCATCAGAGAACATATAACAGAAAATGAAGAGTAATATAATGTGTTCTTTATTTTTTACATTTTATTACATCAAGATGGGATCTAGCTAGATTCTTTCTTACAGTCTTCCAAATCCAAAAAAAGAAAAAAGATAAAAGCAAGAAGGAATGGAAACGGAAAATGGGAAAAAAGAGTTTCCGACCAGCAGCAATATCGCTGCTTAGAAATTCAAACTTCTGAACCATTCAACTTAATTTATATCCTAAAGGAAATGGTAGCAGATATCCTTGGTTGCCGAAACCTTTCCGGCAAGTCGTGGCAGACCTATTCTACCCTCTTACCTGAACATGAGGAACACAACGAAGGGGAGGAGGGGAAAGGGACTATTAAGAATATTTTTTTTCGTCTTGAAAGCTTTTTTAATTTTTTTGCTACTTTACACGTGTCACTTATTTATTGGTCATCTTGTCCATGACAGCGAGCTTTGTGTCCACGCGCTTCTTTTTGTGACTCAAGTGTTCAATAGACACACTTTTGTGAGTGTTGGAGTGTCTAATAGGAACAAGAGTATGTTAAAGTGTAATGAAATTTGGTGCCAACTTTAGGGAGCTGTTTATGTATTTGGCCAATATATAAACACTTTATATGGCATTGCATTGGGCTTGATATTGTCATTGTCTGCTTAAATTTATCTTTTGTAACTGGCAAAGACATCTAAATCTATAAGTACCAAAATTTGGGGTTATTAGTTGAGAGTTTCCATCGTGATTTCCTGTGCAGGTCCGAGAAAAGCTTACTGATACAGAATACCTTGAATTCGTGGGGTATATGAAGTCGCTCAAGTCTAAAGCAATGAAGATAGGCCAAGTTCTTCAATCCATTGCCAGATTATTTTCTCTCCCTGATAGAATACCTCTCCTTCACAGGTATGATCTGTACAGTTAGCTATTCTCTGATCCGTTATTTGAGCAAGAAACTTCATTTCATATAGTTGTTGGTTATGTTGCAGATTCAAGGATTATGTTCCTGCGAAGTACCATTCTTTGTATGATCAATATTTAAAAAGAAATCTTGAAGTAGCTGGCGTATGAGTCATCCTACTTAAGTCTATAAGTCTTCCTTGAGAAAAATCCCTACTTGCCGCACCTAGGAATGCACACAGCCACAAAGTCAGTCAGTGAACAGTATGTTCATGCTGCCGACTAGGCGTAGGAAAAAAAGCGAAGCTATGCTTGTGAAGGGTTTTGTGATATCATACTACAAGGAAAAACACCACCTCCCCTGCCATTTCTCTTGAGGGGAGCTTTGTCATGGGCCGCCGGGCCTTTGACAATGTGGTTCAAGCAGTGTACAGAATCTTAATTTGGAATGCCCTATAGTTGTTGGGAGTTTACATCACGAACTGAGCAACAAGGCTTATAGTTTAGTGGTATTGATGAGAGTGTCCACACAATTTGTATGGGTTGGATTCTCATTGTCCTCCTTTCAATGTAATGTAAGTTTCTTAAAGAAAAAATTGCGAACTGCTGTACCCTCCATAGGCACCTGATTTGGAGGTCACTTAATCTTCAAGAGGCGTTGTGTAGAGTCCAAGTGGCAAGTTATTATTTATTTGACCCGTCCTTTTTTTCGACGGACGGGGAATTTCAACCTTTCAAATGTTCATATCCCCCTTTTGCTTTTCGTATTTACGGGACTGGACTGACTATATTTTTGGAAAGTGCATAGACAAGTTGCTCACGAATCAGAGGGTGAATGTCCGCTTGAAGTCTCATGTTCCTTTTGATCGCTGTGAATCGTCATGTTAATGGTTTCCATTTTATGGTCTTAATTGTGTATTGCATGGTTTAGTATCCCGTGGTTTTTGCTTCTTCCTTTGTCTTGACATTCAATTTGAAATTTTATTGGATTATCTTAATATTTTAGATATTATACGATTTGAGATTTATTGCAGTTCAAGCAAATGAATATCCGAGAGCGGTTGGCTTGTTTTCGATAAATAATAGTACAGCATAAAAAAAAAAGAAAATAGTTACTTCCAGGTTCCAGCGCCCCAACATAAAAATATAGTAACACTTAAAAACAAAAGTGCACATCATAGACGAAGGGAATTCTAGACCTGGAAAAGCTCGCGAATGTACAAAGGACTTACCTTACGACAAAAAGTATCTTTATATTTTGGATTTATATATATACAAATATACTACTTATATTGTTAGTGTAATTTAACTTATTATAATATACTACTTACGTATCATTTATTTTAAGTTCCAAGTAGAGTTATTTGTAATTACTTTTTGAGTAATCCGTCTGTAAATTTTTTTTTACATAATAGCACATGAAATCCGTGTATTTTAACTAATCTCATTTATTATGAACGGGTAAATGGTGATTTGTTAGCATTGTTTTTAGTGAGAGTGTATAAAAGTTAAGCTAAACCCATTGAATGAACAAAGGATTTAACTTCAATCTTAAATAAAGTGACATGACAAAAATAAATATTGATATTTGCATGTGAAGCAACGAAAAGAACAGCTTCTTGCGCTTCCCCGTCAATACATTGACTACTAATTATAAATTAAACACGTGACAACTTTCTTACGTTACGTTTTCCCCTGGTTTAATTCCCCACCCAATGATCGAACATTTCGTGATATCACCGGTACTCTGCCGGAGTTTTCACGCAAAACAACGATCAAATCCACAAACGCACTAAGTATATACTTATACGATTTCTTATCGTTCAAATTGAAATAGCAAAACAAAAGCTCTTCCATAAATTCCCAGTTGATTTTGCCTTGATCATTCAACCTCGCTTCCATCATCTCTTGCATCGATTGCCTGAAATCATCGTATGGACTTGGAGAATACGTTACAACTGTAATAAAATCATCTGCATTCAGTGTTTCCTTTGAACCATCCGAGGTACTAATTGCCAATGAATCATTTGAAGTCGTATTTGTCGTAGCTGAGGTTGATCCAGTGTCGTCTGAAACTGTCATGCTTGTCCGAGCTTCTTCAATGAGGGAACTCGACGAACCACGTGCTACAAAAAACCGACGAGACCCGCTAATATTTGATGGCGGTACGACGTATCTGTTGAAAATATAATTAAGTAATTAAAAATATATTTTTTCTGATAGTTTATATTTTCATATTAGATCGTCACACAGTTGAAGAAAGTACAAAAGCAGGTCATTCAAATTTCACTGTCACTTATTATCGAAAAGAATTTTCACCTTTTTAGCCAAAAAGGAAGAGCTAGAAAATGTGTTGAAAATATAATTACGTAGAAGTATGCTCTATCTAATACTCCCGCCGGTCCATAATACGTGACTTTAGTGATTACATTTTTTTTTTATCTAGGAGTTCGTATTTTTTTAAGGGTTATGACAAATGCTAAAAAAAATCACGGATCGAAGGGAATAGTAAAAGCTTTTAGATGCAAATGTATATACCTTGGGGACTCGAACAAAGAATTTGAAGCTCCTGCATTTTCTTCTTTGTTTGGAGCAATATTATCTTCTTTCTTGCCTTTCTTCACGATGTTGTTGTTGTTGTTGTTAGGTTTATTGCTAGTATTGGCTTCAACTTCACTATCGTCATCTTTGGAATAAAAAGATTTGAAGTTCTCAAAGAGGAAACGATCTATATCTGCAAGTGTAGCAGCGTCATCTTTGGCTTGAGCTTGCTTTTCTTTGCGATCAACGGCAGAGAAGGACAGCGTTTTGGGGTGTCTACAGCCCCGGAGCAACCAGCTAGTGGAAGATGAGAGGGTCTTATTGGCGGAAAAATTAGGAGATTGTGGGGTGGGTTTATGTTTGATCTTTGAGAGGTAATCTGAAAGAGATTTTTGAAGTTGCTTAGGCATTATGTTGATGTCTATGTTTTTGCACTTTCTCTGCTTTTGTGTGTAACTTAATAGAAGCTGAATTTGTAAATATGAGGATGGGTTAGCTTGTGCTTTTATTTTTAGAGGTTAAGCAACATTGAGTGCTGAAATCAATGGCTTGTCTCAAAAAAAGGAAAGGGAATGAATAAATAAATGCCAAAGATGAAACGGTTTAAGGATATTTAATTGTTCTGATTAATGAAGTGATTAATGGATGGTTATTAATTACGAAGAAACGTATTAAGGTTGTCTTTGTTTTTGTTCTTTTGGAGATGGTGGGGAAGAGTTTTAGAGTGCGTTAAATCTCAATTTTCTATTTTATTTTATTTCATTAAGTCCTACTATTCGACAAATAGTCAAGATTCTTTGAAATTGTAAAGTATCTTTGAAATTGTTGAGTGTGTGTATTTTCTTTTTATTCCAAAATTTTAGCTAATGAAATACAAATACTCAAATGTAATGTAGTGTGATTAGAAGTAACTATAAACAAGAAAAAATAGATAGGTACAAGTAAAATTAGCTTTCACTTGATTTATACCCGTTACCTCAAAGACTGTTAGGATCGGGAACCCGAGTAGTGCGGAATTTAGCCAAACAACGGTATAATGACAATAACAAAAAATAATGGAAGGTAATAATAACGGCAATTAAAGAATATAAAGAAGACACAAATTTAACGTGGTTCGGTCAAGGTAACCTACGTCCACAAGCGGAG